ACCTTCTCCTGCGTATTTGGAGTAAGATGGAGTTCTTGGATCAGCAGGCGAGTAACCAAAAGGAACCCTCGGAGCAGGCTCAATGAACAAACTATTTATCCAAGATATCACACGACCACTCATTTTTCTTGCATTGTCATCAAAACACGGTCCATACAGAAGGGAAGCCATTGCATTCAACGAGGCCCACTGGATGGCTTCAATTTGCTCATTCAGTTCCTTGTCAAAAGAAATCTTGTCAACAGAATCTTTCGACCGGTTATGCTGCGAGGTCTTATAGCGCTCAACTTCACGGCGATAATCACTAACAACATCCTGTCCCCACGTACTTCCTGTATCATCAGACCAAGAGAGGAGCAGATCGAATAGACGTTTCCTACTTCTAACATCAAATTTCTCTGATTTTGAATCAACAAATTCAGGGGCAAGGAATCTTAAAACAGTCGCAAGTGCATAGCGCAGAGGCTGCATGTCCTGAAAGCTTTCAGGAGATGCCGACGATATGTGTCTTGTTGAATCTTCAATGAACCTCAGATAGTGGAGGCGGAAAACTGGTTTACGAGCAAGCATTCCAGGCCAGACATTCTCAGACACAGTTCGATATATATTAGCAACATGAACACGGAGGTCCTCTCTTCGACCACCTTTTTGGATCTGCGTTCATATCACAAACATACAGTATTTAACGTCAAGTCCCAATATTTTTCATGCAGCCGGAAATCAATGCAAGGAAAATGGTGAAGAAGAATATGACGGCCATTGATTTTGTAACCAGGGAAAAACTCGGCTAAATCTGGTTAGCCCTTCGACATTTGTAGCACATAGAGATTTGCCCTTATGACAGTGTGCTCAAGTAATGTATATACCTTCCACTTTGGCTTCGTCTCTGTCTCTAATGAAATATCGTCCATGAAAGATGCTAGCTCGCTAAACATAATTTCACATGCTTCCAGATGTGAGCGCCCGAGAGCCATAGTTGCAGCATGCTACATGAGAGGAAATACGAAGTAAAGATTTTTAAACTACCAACTTCAAACTAAAAACGCAAAGAGGCAAAAACATCACTTACGTTGTGGGTCTCTGACCCAAATCTAAGATAAGGGAAAATAAGGTGGTACATGTCTCTGGTTAATGCAATGCTACCCGCATCTTTTCCATCAGGTGGACACGAACACACGAACATAGCATATAGAAGCCACTGATCCAGTTTGTTATCTGTATCTTGTGACTGGCTAGCCTTTCCTCCTAACTCAACAGGTGTAATATAGGCAAGGCGGTGCATAATTTCAGACCTGGAGATGACAAGGGCACCTTAGTTTTCTTCATGTTAATAAATAATAGCCAAAGACGTATGGTAACAAGATAAAACTCTTGGAATTTTCTGTCAATGATTTAGGGGAGGTAACAAAAAACTTCATAATATCAAGACTCAAGAAAACACACCAGGATGATGTAGTTAGGAAAAATACTAGGAGCAAACACATGGAAGATAACGCAGCTAAGGAATATACTTACTTGGCTTCTTGAACAGAGCGTGGGCAGAGCTCAGCAGCATATTTAACAAGCTCGCTCAGACACCGACCCCATCTATTCTTATCAGGGCTCTCAAAGATTATGGATTGAAGAGTCACATCAGGAGGAATGGCATCGGAATCTCGTTTTAAATCAAATGGACGGGCAGAATCCCAGTAGCAACTTTGAACAATATCATCCTATCATATGTATAAAAAAAAAAACAGGACACGATCTTAAATTTTCCATAGAGACAGATGATTTTACCCATAACCCGGCTAAAGGCTAAAAATATAAAGGCTCTAAAAGAGTTAGATATGCAAAGATGATACTTACCCCATGTTCTTCCAAGACATCGATCATGTATATGGGTTCAGCTTCAAATTTCATAACATGGTCTGGGTGCTCTTGAATCTTGAGATCTCTAATATCATTTCTCAATGAACGTACACATCGCAATAATTCTAGCGCAGTATGCCGAATCTGGCTGTCGACTGAACTAAGAAAAATTAGGCCAACAGCATCGATATCCGCAGCGCGAAATTCAATTGCATCTGCTGATTGATGAAAAGTTAATTTCTTGAACCTATCATTTCCCTTTGCTGTTGGCTTTTCATCTTCGGCATCAGTATCTTGTCTGTCATCTATCAAACAAGCCCTCCAGAAACGCATGAGTTCCAACAGGCGCCCTAGTGATGTTTGAATGAGGAGGGGAAACTCATCAGGAAGCTTTAAGATAAAGTTCGCCATCCCTCTCATAACTGCAAAACGGCGATGAGGAAGGTATCTAACAACCCGGTTTAGGACTTGCACTGCTTCCTCTCGAACTCCAGGATCAATACTTATACCATGCTGAGGTATTATTTCTGTGATCTTATCACTCCGTCCAACTTCCTCTATCAGATAAGGTATGCATTTCAGCACTGATCGAAAGAGAGATCCTTGAGACTTTTCTTTATTCACAGCATCTGCACGTGTCTTGAAGGTTAGCAAGGAATGTTTTCAGGAGAAAGTATTAGCAGAGAATGCAGGTAGAAATCAGAAAAACAATCACAATAAATGTTCACACAACATATAGTGATCTTTTAACCTCCCCACAAAACCATGTACATCAGACTAAGCTTTTTGCGTAAAACTAAATTTACCTATTGTAGTCCTTGATGATGTTAGAAGAGCTTGACTATAGGTCCTATGGCAGGATCTCAAAATTGACTCAATTGCTGCTTTCACCTTTGGTATGTAATGGCCAATACCATGACCTGTCAAGACAACACTAAGAATAGTTGAGCGTATGAAAGGAAAAGTATGTTAACAAACGACCTAATTCAGGTTAACAGGTTACCCTTAAATATTTCCAAGCCAACATACTGGCTTGAAGGTGACATAACGAGGGCAAGTAAAGCACGAAGACCAATAATCTTTGCTTCACTTGGACTATCTTGCTTTAATAGTTCTAGCAACATGTGATTCATGGCGAAGTCAAGGTTATGTTCAGCTATGGTCACACAGAACTCAACGAGTTTATCTTGTTGGACATCCTGAGTGAGCATTCCTTTTCTCAGAACTGTTAGCAATTGTGATGTCACACTATCCAAATAATCCCATATACGATTTGGTGGCTGGGTAGCAGCATAGACACTCAAATAAAACCTCAACACCCGGTGAAGACAATCCAGTGCCATGTAGCGATGATTCTTATCCTGCAATAGTGTGCAGTATGCAGTATTAGAGTGAAACCAAGATATATAAACTACCAAGAATAAGCTACTGTAATTACAACTGCACACATAATGGTGTGCAGATGTGACAATTGCCCTCGTCCATTCTCACTTAAATTAAATTTTGAGTGCAGGCAAACTTACTCTCAGAAGCTTGTACAACTGCTCCATGTGAGAGCTTAAATTATGATGAAATATAAGCGGGTCACCGAGACAGAGAAGTAGGGTCACAAGCGGATAGCCAACCTATTAACCATATTATACCTGTTAAGGAATAAAATCACAAGGAAAACATGATAAAGTGATATTAAATCAGATTGACGTACACCAATATGTTTGCTCTGTTTCTCCATCCAATGGATTAGATTCACTCTAATGCGTCCCACAGCCTCATACCAGAGTGTCAGCGCAGGCTCTGCAACTGAAGGGGGCCATTGGCTTTTGCCACCATCGGAAAGTGGCGCCAGGATGTTAGAAAGCATATTGCAAAGCGCATGGTGAAGCTCACTTTTACGTTTGTGTGGAGCACGGTTAAGAGGGTTTGCTTTTGCTACAAAGGAGGCAGACGCATTTAGCCCACCCTCACTCTTAACCTGGTAATAAACATAATGTCACATTTGACTATTTGAGTCCTGAAGCCTGCATTTTCTAAGAGATCAGAGACTTACCCCAAGCTTTAAGTATCGCATCCCATTAATGATGCTGAGAGTTTCACTTCTTGCTACACTTGTGTCAATCCGGCGAGTATTGAGTTCCATGAAAAACCGCTCAGTGACAGAGCTGAATCTGTTAGTGAAAATTCATAGTAATCAATGGATTAGAGTGGTTGAGGTTGCGGCGGCTCAAAACTAGATCAGGCTTTTACAAGTTCTTTCGTTCCGACTAAACTTGTGGATGCAACTGCAAGTCCCATTCAACTAACAATGCAAAATGAAATACCTGATACGGGATAGTGCACCCAAGAGTTGAGCAACCAAGTCAAGAAGGAGACCCCTCAAATCAACTAGTGATGGGTATTCCACTTGGCTAACAACCCTGTAACGGAGAAGCACCCAGAACTTAAGAAAATTAGCTTTTTGTAACTCAAAAAGGCACGTCAAAGGATAAAAGCATACTTTCTAGCGAATCATATTAACTTTAAGAGTTCCAGCTTCTGAAATCAGTACCTGTCAGCGTTAATTAGCCAGTCAAAAACAAAATTCTCAAGTCCAGACCATAGCTTCTCTGTCAAACACGCAAAATCCTTTTAGCAAGGCAGTATACACATTTTGTTGGAAGAAACTGTATAGAGAAACTAAACAAACCGGTGAGCCCTTCCTGCGGACAACACTCGACGAAGCGAATACAAGCTGAGCAGAAGATGCACTCAACCGCCAACTGATTCCAGTAGTGTAAAACCATATATCAGAAAAATGAAAACAAAAATTCGAAAGTTGATTAAACAAGACTATGGATAAAAGTATTCTTGCAGAGAGGTAAGATTAATAAGAAACAGAGAAGTAAGAGTATAAGAGTCAAAAGAAAATACCTTTCTCTGGAAAGTCGATGCATCATTTGCACCTTTTGGTGATTCACTGCAACGCAGATATAAACCCACACAAAAAAAGAAAGAGAAAATCTATTAATAATGGTCCAGAGAAGTAGCCATAGATAACATCTTGTTAATAAATTCACCTATCTACTTATGCGAAATGTGGTGATTTGGATTCAGCAAAGTCAGTTTTTGAAGCTATTAGGAGAGGTGACAGAAGTGTCATCTCTTGGAACTCTATGTTCAAAGCATATGCGATTTTTGGGGAGGCATTTGAAGCTTTTGGTTTTTACCGACTGATGCTGCGTGAAGAGTTTAAGCCGGATTTGAGCACCTTTATTAACCTGGCTGCGTCATGTCAGAAACCTGATACACTAACGCAAGGAAGATTGATTCATTCTCAGGCAATCTGCCTCGGTACTGATCAAGATATAGAAGTGATCAATACCTTCATTTCCATGTATTCGAAATCCGGAGATACCTGTTCAGCGAGGCTTTTGTTTGACTGCATGCCTTCAAGAACATGTGTTTCTTGGACTGTGATGATAAGTGGCTATGCAGAGAAAGGCGACATGGATGAAGCTTTGGCTTTATTTAATGCCATGACCATAACAGGAGTGAGTCCAGATCTAGTTACCTTACTCTCCCTCATTTCAGGTTGTGGAAAATCTGGTTCACTAGAGATTGGAAAATGGATTGATGCTAGAACGGATACTTATGGCTGCAAGAGAGATAACGTCATGGTCTGCAATGCTCTTATTGATATGTACTCAAAATGTGGAAGTGTCACCGAAGCTCGAGACATCTTCGATAACATGACTGAGAAAACTGTAGTCTCATGGACTACGATGATAGCTGGATACGCTTTGAACGGAGTCTTCCTCGAAGCTTTGGAACTTTTCAACAAGATGATAGACTTGGGTTATAAACCAAACCATATAACATTCCTTGCTGTTCTCCAAGCTTGTGCTCATTCAGGCTCTCTGGAGAAAGGGTGGGAGTATTTCCTCACTATGGAAGAAGTATACAGCATCAGCCCTGGATTAGACCATTACTCTTGTATGGTAGATCTTCTTGGAAGGAAGGGAAAGCTAGAAGAAGCTTTAGAACTCATTCGTAACATGTCAGCTAAACCTGATGCTGGGATATGGGGTGCATTGCTTAGTGCTTGCAAGATCCACCGTAACGTGGAGGTGGCTGAGCAAGCGGCTGAGTGTCTTTTTAACTTGGAACCGGAAACGGCTGCGGCTTATGTAGAAATGGCAAACATATACGCAGCTGCTGGTATGTGGGATAGGTTTGCAAAGGTTAGATCCATGATGAAACGCAGGAAGATTAAGAAGTATCCAGGTGAAAGCGTGATTCATGTCAACGGGAAGAATCACACTTTTACAGTGGGAGAACGTGACCATGCAGAACATGAAACGATATACCTTGTGTTGGATGGTTTGAGCCTGTTTGCCAGAGATGAACATATACTGCGTAAAGATGGGTATGCAGAACAGAGTTATGAACTTCGGTGGGTTTAGATTCCATATCAGGATGTTGTTGTTGGTTCCTAACAACCGATCCTCAGTCTTCGTTTGCTGTATACACGTAACATAACACAGACGGGAATATCTTGGTACAGCCTCAAGGAGGAAACAAGCAGAAAGAGAGATCAGTGACACGGTGACACAGTAGTGATACGGTGTCTGATATCGAGGATCAGTGTCACAGAGCAACACTATTGAAGACGATTGAAAGTACAAGAAGGTTGTAAAGTGCAAGCATTGTAAGTTGACAAGAAAGGTTTGTTGCTGGACATGACTTTTGCTGCATCCAAGTTCTCAAATGAAACTTTGTAAAGCTAAGTGTGCAATTCATATCAGGAATCAGACGATCAAAAGTGAGAAAGCTATCTATGCATATTCAAGTTTTGTATCAGGTTATATATTGCAAGTTTGTAACCCAAGTCTACAATATGGTTGTGAAATACCAAATGAACTTACAAAGTGAATCTAAAAATGTCCAAACTCCAAACTTTTGAAACTTTCTTACTGAAGTTTAAATACAAAGAAAATTAAAATTTTGAACTTTTGATTGACCTTCATGGTTTTTGCCTTCTAATCTATCCTTATCTAGATCTCGGCCCACAAACTCAACAACTCTATTCAACCCCTCCACCAACCATTTCTGTGATTATTAAGATTTGCATTATTTTGATGATATAGTTTGTTCTAACAAGATGTGATGGGGAATCATCTACATGAGTTTAAAGATTATACAATTTAACAAGATGATATAAAGTAAAGATAATTGATAATTCTGATTTGTGGAGGACCAGATTCTGTTGTCCATTTCTTTATTTTATTCACCACCAGTGTTTTTTGGCATTTATCAAATTTAAAGGATAAAGACTTTTTCGACACTTATAGATAAAGTGGAGCATAGCAAGATATTTTCCTTAACCATGTTCGTAGAACTCCGTGTCCATTGCGTGTTCCCACGACGTAGATATTTTGGTTATCACGCTTCACCTTCTAGTTTTAACATATTCACATTTAAACCCCAATGCTTTCTAACAGTTTTTTAAACACCCAATTAGAGCGCCAAATGTCCAAATGACCTATTTTTCTGCGCATTATAACATTTATCAGAAAAAAATCATTATCTTGAAGATTCATTTATGAATGTTCCCCCGTTCAGATATTTAATGTTGGGTCGGTCTGGATTGAAACAATGAAGACTTTAAGCATTCGATTTAAGAAAATCATAATAGTACGAGGGCTTTTAACCGCAATAACATATAAAATAAAGGGAAATACACTTATTCAAAAATGGTAACGCGTTAAGTAATTAATGTATTTAGGATACATACAACAGACGTAGCACGCTTATCCATATATACACACACAAAGCTCTCTCTTCTCTTTTGATTCCAATTCCTTCTGAAACATTCTTCCCAATTTCGAATCGGTAAATATTCTCTCAGTTTTTCCATTTTGATCTCACTTTTCTCTGTGATCGTTCGTATTCAGCTAGCTTAATCGAATCGTATGTCGTTCTGTGTTTTGTTATTTCGTTTTGCTCTCTTGATTTTGCATGATCGAATCGCGTTTCTTCGTTGCTGAAATGATCTCCGGTTTTGTTTGTTTGGATCCATCTTCTGCTATACTGATCTATGTTTACGTTTACATTTACGAGCCGCTAGTTGGTTTTTGTAGTAAGGTAATGATCTGAAATTGAAGAAAAAATGAGGAACAAATCTGGATTTCGTTTTCTGGTGAATTTGCTTATGGATTAATGACCATTCCTATGATTGTTTATGAATTTCATCGTGATTGTTGTGATATGTCAAGATCGTTTCCTAGATTTGTTTTGAAGCAAGCAAGTCAAATGTTAAAAAGCTAGCTTGATCTTTGACCGTCCTGATGTAGTGTATCAAACTCTTGTAGGTGTTGTTGAATTGAGTAAAAAAGCAATGGGAGGTGGTAAAGACAAGCATCACGATGAGCAAGACAAAGGGTTTCATGGTTTCCCAGGAGGAGGACATCATTACCCTCCACAACAAGGGTATCCTCCACAAGGGTACCCTCCACAACAAGGGTACCCACCGCAACAAGGGTACCCTCCAGCTGGAGGCTATCCACCTGCTGGATACCCTCCTGGTGCCCCTGGAGGTTACCCTCCTGCAGGCTATCCTGCTCCTCACCATTCAGGTAAACTAATGTTCTCGGATTATCGATAAGGCCTGATGAGTCTACTGGTCTGTATTGTGTTTCAACTGGTGTATACTTTGTCCAAAGATTGAACCTTTGAGTTGGATTATTCAGATAGACATTGGTGTTTTAACTTCTAGTCTTTTAATCTTACAGATATAGTAGATGTACACATTTGATCAATTTTGGTTCTGTTATTTTG